GATGGTCATGTGTACAACAGCTATTAATCTGTAGCTCCTCCTTCTTTAAGAGCAACATCAAAGAGCCTGCGTGGCACACTAGAAACTAGGTTTCGAAGATGTACTATGCACCAGATATGTTCCATCGGATTGAGATCGGGACTGCAGGCTGGCCATGGCAGGACGATTATGTTTTGGCGTTGCAGTCACTCATTCGTCTCATGGCTCACGTGAACGGAGTCGTTGACTTGTTGAAAGACATAGTTGAGGTGACGGCCATGGGACAGAAAGGGTACTGGATGATGCTCCAAGACGTTCTGGTAATCCTTGAAATCCATACTGCAGCTCACGTAAGGTAGATCCAACACGACATCATTGCAGAATGCACCCAACACCATAGACCTCCTCCACCGAAATTGCGACGGGTAAAGTAGACTGGTTCCTGCCTCAAGTCACGCCAGTAGTGCTTGTTTCCATCAGGACCGTCCAGCTTGAATTTCTTTTCATCCGAAAAGAAGACCTGAATAGGAATTATTCAGCTCTATGGTGAGATTTTGATGCAGATCTACCTTTGCCCAATCCCTCCCTAGGTTCATCTTTACAAATCCGAGTCGAGCCTCTGTGTGGCGCTCAGTGATTCATGNCACCTTCTCCATTGCTTGCCTGGTGATGTTCTCGCATCTTCGCACCGCTCTCCAGACTGTAGTTTTTCCACACAGAGAGTTTTAATTCCGATCGGATCTGGTTCAAGGAGGACGTGCTGTTGGAAACAGTCCTCAGAATCTTCCGCTCGTCACGGGCAGTAATCTTACATGGGTGTCCCACAGTCGATGTTATTTCTAGGAACATCAAGACTCTCCAGATCTTTAAATGTACCAAGGGGATCTCCCTATTTGCCTGGAAAGGCTCGAGTACTGAGCCCACCTTCATTATGAGCCTTCTCATCAGGGGAAAGCAGATGACCACGAGCCATGTTGACAGTTAGGTTTAGAAATGCATTTGCTACACATGCTTACCTTTATAAGTACCTCTATACACGAAATTTCCTCACCTCCATGAATAATTGTTCACTTTCTCAGGGTGACCTTACAATTATGAAACGGTGCAAAAACCGATAAACTGTTTTTAAAAAGCTCAGAAAAATGCAGCTGCGGCTAAAAAACGGATACCATGATTATTCGTGTAGGGGAATCGTTTATGATGCTAGAAAAAATCCTGAATTATTGCTTTTTTTTTGAAAGTGCAAAATTTGAGGGTGACCTTATAATTATGAAGTATCAACATGACTGAAGTCTGTTAAGGAACGATTGGGTACTTGGTGTAGATCATTTCCGTTTTGATATTTTCATTCTGCTATCATTCAAAATCTGATGGCTTTGGATGCATATTTAACATTCCTATCCTAAGACCTGCGGGCCATCTGCAGAGAAAACAATGTTTCACATTGGCCAGGTAGTTTGAAATTAATAAACCGACGTCGGTGGGGATGTAAGGTTCGGATGGACTGAGCCGGTGTTGGACGAGGTTTCATTCCCATAATGTAAGGTGTGGCAAGTAGCTACAGCGCCCGACATCCGTCTGTGTCATCAAATCGTAAACGCGCGGATATGATTGGGATCGGAATGGAAAAGAAATCTCGATATGTATGATGGCTCTGGCCCAGCGAATTGATTGCGAAAGGCGGGTTTTTATAACAAACGTTAGTCACACCAGAACCTTTGTATGCATTGTCCCCATTTCGTGGTACCTGAGTACCAGTGAGTCAGCTACTGGTATGACTTTCCTATCTTTCTTGCTGTGTTGTCTGCGTCCATTATCAGCCAGGCTTCATCGCGTAAGTGGCTCATATTCTCAATTAACTACTTTTTTAAATAGCTCCATAGAGTATTACGTAATAACCTTTGCATTGTGGGTTTTTCTGAAACGCAGTGTCGAATGGTTGCATAAGTATTCACAAAATTAGGTCAATTCTGTCGTTCGGCTTTGTCCCGGGCTCACCCTTAGAAAAACTCAGATTTGTTTCGAAATGTATTAATCATCACAACTTTTTCTTTGCACTGAGCGTAACTCATTCACTGTTACGTACATAATCATCAGTCCCTTCGTTATACGATGCTTCCGTGCCATAATTGCCTAAAGTCATCACTGCAAATGTGCCTGCCTATAAATGCAATGTGAAATTCCAGGCTTGTATTTACCTAGTAACAGTGAATTTCAACTCGGTTGCTATGCTCTTTATGCGATCAATTCCTTCTGCGGTGATGACTAATGCCGTGCTCATCATTTACCCGGAGCTATTCCTTTCGCATTATTTCTGTGTCAGCTTGAAGCGATGAATAATATGTATCGAGCTTTTTTGGCCTTCATTGCTCAGGTGTGTTGATTAGCATCCGTTCGCTCTTCTTTTGGGGAAAATTTGGAAAAGGGACACAGGAAAGGTGCAAAACAGGAGTTGTCAGAAAAAGCGGACTTTTTGAAAGCTTTAAAAGCGACTATCTGAATAGAGTCGGTTATCAAAGCTTTTTTTTTTTTGCCATATGATTGGCACAGTTCCCGCCCAGAGTAAGACGTTTGAAAAATAGCAGTTTTCCGATGTGCCTTAGTTCTTCCGTACTGCAGGATGTTTTCTACCCAGTTGTGCGCTGCCCGTTTGTCACTAACTCCTTAGCGTTTGCTTTTATCGTCGACTTCGGTTTTCAAGTGCCCTTTATCTCAATACAAACGTTCTCAGCTGCTTTAAGCTGTTTTATTCTCATTAGAAGTGAGAACGTCTTCAAGTTGTTTCTTAGCGCAGTAAACCGTTTTGTCGTTACTCATGTTTCACAAGAAGGAAGTAATTCTTGAATCTAAAGTGATAACGCCTATTTTTTCATTCTCACGTGTCTGGGTGTTTTGGCTGTGATCGGATCCATCGTCGGACTTCACCCGATTGCCTAATTTTTCATTGCCCATTAAAGGAACGAAACTGATTTCATTTGCAAAGTTCCTTTTTCTTTGGCCAATGTCATTCGTTCCGTCATCTTGTCAACTTTTTGAATCCTACAGGATTCATGCTCCCTATTAGAGTTTTCTTAGAATAAAGAGCAAGGTAAAGCAAGGTTAAACGCCCCTTGTTGATATAGGAACGCTATCGATAGAGTGTGAAGTGCTGTTTGCAAATATGGGAATTAAAACTGCAAATTCCAAAAAAAAATTATCAGCGGTCGAAATTGAAGTGAAAAAGTGCAGTCGTCGCTTCGGTATCAAGTGTCGGCGTAGTGAGGTGCATTGTTCTCGCTCTGCAGAAGGGAATGCGGATTTGCTTTGCGTTACTTTCAAAATTTTTCCACCGGGTTCTCTTATGCTTATAAAGGCTTTTATAACTTTTCTGACATTTATTTGAGTAAGTTTACTCCGGCTGTAATTCACGCTTGCCCACTCATTTAGGTCAAAAATATTTTGCTAGTAAACCGAATGATTTTGCTTCATTTGTAAACGTTGAGACACATGCTACAGAGATCGCTCTGAGAAAGCCATTTTAAAGCAAACGTGTTGTGCACGCCTCATATCAGGTTGCTGAGAAATTATCTGAAGTATACTGAACATATGGAAACGCGTTTACTATTTGCCCTATAGTACCCTTCTATGTGCCCTCTTATTTCCAACGATTCAAAGCTACGGATACTTTGGTTTTCAAAAAAATCTGATCTTCTGTGAAGGTTCGGCGGTCACCCCAGTATATACCGCTACTTTACAATCGTAGAGCAACACTCAGTCCACTCAAGACTGAACAGTTCATGTCAGGAATGACACAACGGTTTCTGTCAACTCCCTGTTTTGTGACGCGAGCTTTTCGAGAAGCCAGGGCACAAAACGAGTGTAACACCTATAATGACCAAGCATATATTACGATTGAGTAGACTGGCCTATCGAGAGTCCGGATGATTAAGAAATGCATTTCATTGTGGAGCCGTGCTCATCTTTGTGTGATATCAACACCACTGAAAACGTCTAGGAAGAATGTCTTTAAGTGAATTAACGTCTGCGCTGTGATATACAAATTGCAGCCGAAATAAGGCATCTTCACAAATTTCAAAGAGGGTATAAAAGCTTCACACAAGAGAGCAAAGACTATGATGGTGGCAGGGAGCAAACCTGCTTCCTCCGCCTGCAGAGCGAGAGCATTACCATAACGCCATGTCACGCTTCACATAAAAGCGAGGACTGTGCATTCCCACTTAACGCCATCTAAAAGCCATCTTTTCAAAACTTCTTTAAAAAAACTCATTGTGCAGTTTTGACCTCTATTCGTCAACAGCATTCCAAATTCATTCGATACACCTTGGCCTCCCTTCACAGTTCTGTACTAGGTAGACCACCCCTCTCCAGAGTGAAAGGCCCCTCTCCGGTGAATGAAAGACAGCATTCCTTCCTTAGCTCACTTACAGTTAGTTACAGCATGTGGTTCGAATTAAAGCCTACTTAAAAGTACAGATCTGCTGTTCCTATCGCCGGAGTTGGCGTTCAGTGGGTCGCTAACAGCATCTGTCGCTTCAAGCGAGTGTTTTTTTTTNTTTTTTTTTCTTGGACAAGTTATCCCGCTCATAATTATTTTTAAACTTGTTGGTTCTGTAAATGTTGAGAATTAAAATGAGCAAGATGACCTCTTTGTTGCAAAGGCAGCTGATTTGTGGCAATTTGCATATCATGTTCAAAGCATCGGGATGATTGGTACATTTTCGGCATTTTACGGTTTTTTATTTGCATGAACTTTGAGATGAACAAATCCGTTCCTATCCTGTTGTAGTAGTGTTTTTCCCCACTTCTTTAAAGTAATTTCAACTGACTACCCCGTGGTCGCAGGGCTTACTTCCCACAACAGCTTTGATTTTATCAATTTTTTATTCTTCAAAAAAATACTAGTTCGTTCGTGATGATTGTAAGGATGTTGTTGCCTTCAGGACTCTTCTGTCACTGTAAGGAATCACAACTCAAATTCTGATTCAAAAGCGATGGCCTCCGAAAAGAATGGACAAGAGGCAATGGACACCGACGCAGCTGGACTCGATACAAATCTGTATTCGAGACAAATGTACTTTAGCACTTTCGTAGCATAATCTTGCTTGTGGAATGTTCTTTTCGCTTAATGTTTCTCTATATTAGATACGCTCTCGGAGAATCTGCAATGATTCATCTTAGAAAAGCCTCGGTCATCATTTCCGGATTGGGAGGAGTGGGTGTCGAAGTGGCGAAAAACCTTATACTCGGAGGTATTTGTTCGAAGCATATGAAAGAGTGCCGTTCAAAATCGTTATTCAAATCAGTGGCCTTCAGGAATCCGCAACGTTACTCTTCATGATACCAAAGAAACGCAGTGGTTAGATCTGTCTGCACAGTACTACCTCACCGAAAACGATATTGGTAAAAATCGTGCTGCTGCTAGCTTCGAGAGGTGGGTCTTCATGTTTGATGTAAACTCGTTCAACATTTGTATAGTGCTTTTCTATATATTTGCTCTGGAACACATATCGTAAACAGATTTTTATCGAATGGCAGTGCGTTGTTGTTGATGCGGAAGAGTTGTGAAAGGTCATAGCATTAGACTCCCTGTTTGTCACATACTATTGCATAGTGCTTACTATTGCTATCATGCGTACTGTTCACTCGATTTAGTAGATAGAGCATAACAACAGCTCTTGCGAGAGCAGACCAACCATACAACTTTTATAGGGAAATGGAAAATGATCGTAAGCCGTCAGAGTAACGTCGGCTCACCAACAAAACATGTTTCGCCATTTCCTCGATTTTTGTAAATAATTCAGGCTTGCTGAGTTGAACGACAGCGTCAATTGTCATCTACTCATGAATGAACTCACAGAAGATGTGATCAAGCAGTTTGATGTCAGTATGCCCCCTTCTTTTTTCGTTTCAAAGAGAAATTCTAGAAAGCTCCAAGTATACCCTTATTTCAGCTCGTTGTCCTGACTGATAGTGCGCGAAGTGTGCAATTGAAAGTGTCTGGTTGGACTAGAGAGCACCAGAAGCGTTTATTGATTGTCGACGCTCGTGGCTTGTACAGTTATATATTTGCTGACTTTGGAGATTCGTTCAGAGTGGATGATCCTAATGGCGAGCAAGTCAAAGAGGTATTACAGTAAGCTTCGTCATTTTTTCGATATGAACAAAGATTTTTGGCTTGCAGTTTTTGATTGAACATGTGGATGCCGAAACTGGGGACGTAATCACGCTGGAAAACCAGATGCACGGTCTAGAAGATGGAGATCATGTCACTTTCTCGGAAGTCAAGGGAATGACACAGCTCAACGACTGCGCCCCAATCAAAATAACCGTCAAGAGTAAGGAATACTAAGATTGCGGATTTTCTGAACCCATCTATGTTGCGCTTTCAGAGCCACACGTATTCAATATTGGCAATGTTGTAAAAACCATGTCTAGTTATGAAGAAGGAGGTCGCGTTAAGCAAGTCAAGGTGTGCTCCTTACTTCTTTTTTATTGTTTTGTTTTTGAATATGCTTCTGCGCTGTCGTATGAATCAGGTGAAGCATCTGTAACCTTGTTTTACAAAACGTGCAATGATATTGTTGAAGCTCAAGTCGAAAAAATTAAGGGTAACCTATATTATATTGTATTGCGTGTTTGCCCGTCTAGGTACCAACCTATGTAACGCATAAACCTCTGGCAGAATCACTGGCTGATCCGGAGTTCGTCTTGTGGGATTTTGCCAAATTTGAATATCCTTCTCAGCTACACGCTCTTTGGAATGCTTTGTATGAGTTTGAAGCGAAGGTAAACCATTACCAGTGGCTAGTGAAGAGCCTCAATGAAGTTTCGCAACACAATTCCAGCACGGCAGGAGTCCCAGGCCTCGATGTGATGGTGACGTTGAGTTGTTGAAGGCAGAATTACCTGAAAACACCACTGTTGATGAGAAACTTCTGAAGTCTTTTTGCTATCAGGTATTTTCCAGATTATCCAATTTGTTATTAGAATAACCTCTGCTGTTTGAGGCAATGGGCAACCTGGTTACTATCGCTTCGGTGGTTGGTGGCATTGCCGCTCAAGAAGCGATGAAAGCGGTTACCCATCATATGACTCCTCTGAAGCAGTGGCTCTACCTTGACAGCGAAGAAGCACTACCGGGAGATTGGAGCCAGTTCGACAATGCTAAACTAACTGTTGAAGATTGCAAGCCTGTACGGAGTTTCTCACATAAATCACCTCAACCACCGTAAAGTTCACTATGTTTAGCGCGATTGTCGATATGATGGACAAGCTGCGGTCTTTGGATGGAAATATCAAGAAGAGCTCTTCTCTCAGAGATGGTTCGTAGTTGGTGCAGGTGAGTTCTATCAGTCATGACTTAGAAGGAAACAGCTTTTAGAACTTTTGGTTAGGTGCAATTGGATGCGAGCTTTTGAAGAACCTTGCAATGATGGGCGTAGCATGTGGCGAAGGCGGCTTAATCAAGATCACAGATATGGACCAAATTGAAATTAGTAACCTCAACAGGCAGTTCCTCTTCCGAATGAATGATGTTGGGGTAAGTTTTTCATTTTTTTTATTCTGCACCATGTTCAAAGAAGTTACGACTTCAAATTTCAGAGCAAGAAGTCGGTTGTGGCGGCCAGAGCAGTCAAAGTTTTCAATAAGGATGTACACATAGAAGCCCTGGCGGAAAGAGTTGGCCCTGATACTGAGCACATCTTCAATGATGATTTCTTCGCAGAACTTGATGGCGTTGCTAATGCTCTGGACAATGTTGATGCCCGTTAGTTATCGTAATATTCTTTCAGTCATGTATATGTATGAAACGCCTTAACAATCTTTAGGTCGATATATGGACAGAAGATGTGTTTACTATCGCCTGCCATTGCTTGAGTCTGGAACTATGGGTACAAAGGGAAACACCCAAGTTGTTTATCCTCACCTTACAGAGTCTTATGGGTCGGTTTTGCCTTTTTTGAGTGCCTTTGTTTACTGTATTAAAACCTTTCTTTGAAGATCTTCTGTGGACCCACCTGAGAAGGATATCCCAATCTGCACTTTGAAGAACTTCCCCAATGAAATCCAACACACCATTCAATGGGCCAGAGATCTATTCGAAGGTAAGAAAATGATTCGTCCCACTTCGTAGCCACGATTACGAAACCTTTCACAAGGGTTAAGTTAGTTAATTGCTACTTGAATAGTTGATTGCTCAATTCAATTGCTTTTAACTTTTCTCGAAGTTCCATCTTTAATGGAAATGAGCGAAGGCATTGTTGTTATTCGTAAGTTTGAGGAATTCCTAGTTTACCGTTTTAGGCTTGTTTACCGCTCCAGCTGAAACCGCGAATCAGTTCCTTTCTGATGAAAGAACATTCTTAGAGCGTTTGGAGCAGATGAATGTCAGTCAAAGAACGCAGCTTCTTGGACAGGTTGGTTTCGCTCTTTGATGTATGTGATTTGTAGAGTCATTATAAATTGTTTTTTTTTTTTTGAGTAGTAGAGTTGCCTTCCAACAATTTGACATCGCGTCATACTCAAAGATTCAGGTCAAAGATGCTCTCATTGACAGTAAACCAGCATCTGCTGAGGACTGCGTGAAATGGGCCCGTATGTTATTCCAAGTCAGTCGTCTTCAGAAACTTTGTAAGTGGATGTTGATTAGTTGTTGTAAGCTTTTATTTTTTCCAGGAAAATTACCACGATAACATTGCTCAAATGCTTCACTCATTCCCACCAGACCAAGTTACTGATCAGGGAGCGAAATTTTGGTCTGGCACCAAGCGATGCCCTCACGTGCTCGAGTTCGATCCTTCTCAGGTAGAACTTGCTTTATACATTTAGAATTTGCTTCACTCTCAATAATAGCATTAACTTGAAGGAGGAACATCGGAATTTCGTTTATGCTGCATCCATTCTGCGAGCAGAGATGTATCGCCTGAAGCCATTGCTTGATGTAGACGTCGTGATGAAGGTGGGTTCTTGTTTCAACTTCGAACATAGGGATTTTGGGGTTTTTCCAATGTTTTATTGTACCTTCCATTTGTAGTGCTGCACATTTTACCTACTCCTTTGTAATGATGCTTTATACAGTAAATGTGTTTGAAAATTCATCGAAACTGATTTAAATAATCGATTTTTGTAATATTCTTCTTACAGATTGCAAAGTCCGTTCAACCTCCTCCCTTCAAACCACGTGCAGGTGTCAAGATTGCAGTTACTGAGGCTGAGGCTAAAGAAAATGCAGAAACTGATGATGGTAGGTCTCTTTTTGATAACCTAGTGAGAATTCTATCAACGTATTAACGTTTCTCTCAGCCAACGCCGATGCTATGCTAGAACAACTGAAGGTTAAACTAGCTCGTCTCCATACCAAAACTATTCCGAAACTCAAACCCATTGATTTTGAAAAGGTTAGTCATCTCTTATTTTTAATGACTTTAGCTTATCCCTTTTCAAAAACCGAACCTTACAGGATGACGATACTAATCATCATATGGAGATGATCACAGCAGCATCTAATCTTCGTGCAGAAAACTACAATATTCAGCCAGCAGATCGAATGAAGGTTCGCGTTCAGCCTTTATTCTTTTAATTTGAACCTCTAATATACTATGTTGTAGACCAAACAAATAGCCGGTCGAATCATACCTGCTATAGCTACAACCACAGCTACTGTTGCCGGATTAGTTTGTGTTGAATTATACAAGGTTGTTCAATCCTCCAATGATCTTGTTTGTGTTTTGCTGAACCAACAAATTTAGATGATTGGCACGACGAAACCTCCCCTTGATCGCTTCAAAAACGGCTTTATAAACCTTGCTTTACCGTTCTTCGGATTTTCTGAGCCTATTGCTGCCCCAGTTAAAAAGGTAAATTAGGATCACGCTGAGTTCGCCTGAATTATATTCATCTTTGCAGTACAATGACGCCAGCTTCACTCTCTGGGACAGATTGGAGATACAAGGGCCAAAAACGTTACAAGAGGCTGTTGATTGGATTCAGGCAAGAGTTTTTTCCTGTCTTGGACCTATTTCCTTTGTGAAAGCCACCGTATTCATAATGAAAATCAGCAAAGCAGTGATGTCGCAACTCTTATGGTTTTCCTATATCAGCTTTAATTCTACCATTATCGAAACAAAATGTAAAGGCTCCTCACATACTTTCATGTTGTGCTCCGAATCTATTTTGACTTTTGCGACTTCCGTAACAGAATGTGAATTTTCCCTCATTTTGGCACAGTTTGAGAGCCTTTTTTTCCTTCGCTCCTTCAAGGTTAACGAACACTTTTGATTAATGGTCGGCCAGGCCAGCTAGAGTTTTCGTTTTTATACTCGAAGAACGCCTTAGCCTTCTATACCGTTGCATTATTTTATTTCGTTTTGAATTCCGCGTATATAGATGATGTGCAAAGTATGTGTCCATTCACTGAGTCTATTATTAAAGTTGCTGGTCGTTTTGATGATGCTCTGTAGATTAGTGGGGAGTAGGGATTTATAGGACTTCTTATTGTAGAGAATACAGTGACAGATTCAATCCTATGTTAATCATATGTCAAATGGTAATGAATGACACTTTTCAGAATGAAACTGGACTTGAAGTGACAATGCTGTCGTCAGGTGTTTCACTCATTTACTCATTTTTCATGGATGCCAAAAAACGTGCTCACCGAATGCCTATGGAGTAAGTTTCGCAATATAGTTTGTAGTGACGCTGGAATGCAGTTCTTTGTACTTCTAAGTATCCTTTCTTCTATGCATATTGAATGCAGTCTTCTTTTAGAACCTCCGTTACGACCAGATCCCCTTCTAAAAAGTTTAAGCGCTAGTCGGGGATCGATATTTGCTTTTTCTGTGGTTCTTACTGATCCCTACCTAGCGGTATGATACCTCTCTTTTTCACCAATAGTTCCTGATATTTTTGTCCAGGTTTTTGCAGTTCACCTGCATATTTATACAGGTTTGGAACCGGTGAGGGCAGTCTATTGCGTTTTAATTTACACGAATGCATACAATCTACAGTGAGCTTGAAACATGACTCATCTTTCGTATCTATGTATTTCGGATGCTTCGGAGGCCCTTGTTTTTGAGCTAACGGTGAATTTCGATTTTATGGGTGAGGGGCTTTGGTAACACAATAGCCTGCAGCAGAAAACTTTCAAAGCTTACTTCACATCTTTTATTTTTAATGCTAAAATTCCCTCAGATGCCGATTACTTTACAAGAGGGCTCAGTGTCCGTTATTACTCAATTCTAGACGCGCAATCGAATTGCATATGTCTGATTCATATTTTACGATTAGGATTGCAGATGTGCACATATTATTGAGCATCTTTACCGTGGAAAACGAAAAACTCGATGAGACCTCCGGTGTTAGCATAATAATCGATATTTGCTCATGCACTGGAGGAAACATTATTGCATATCGTGTTGTCCTGTTGTTAGTAAGGAGCGACTATCCGATTCGTGCATTGCGGTAATGACAAGGTTTCAAAACTGAATCACGGCCTTAAAGTGGCTTGCAAGTAAATGTGAGAGAAATCTGTGGTGAAAAGAAAGCGCTCACTTGTACCTTTGATCTATTCGAAGCTGAGCAGTTTTCGATTGATTCATGTTAACTCCTTATTTTTTAAGCTCGCAATGTGTTCCTTCAGTATTACACTTAGTTAATCATAACCTCAGTTGCTCACCTTTATTGATTGCAGTGTCAAAGCTGTCGTGGAGGACGTGTCGAAGCGACAATTGCCTGACTATCAGCGTTCCTTGGTCTTGGAGGTTATGGCGACCGATCCAAACACCGACGCTGATGTAGAGGTTCCTTACATTCGTTATGTGTTTGCATAGATATGCTAAACGATATCACTTCTTCTGCGCTTCCGGTTGATGCAGTCTTTGCCTCTTGTCTTCACGATGTCGTGGCTTATTAAGTAAGACATTATAGCATTCTTTTTTTGTTTTTTCTCAATTGTTATCAATAAGAAGGTACATTTGTTCCAAACTTTTTTCCGCTGTATGAGGAGATATTCATCAAGTCAAACTGATTTCATCCAAAGTGATTCGTGGCCGCACTTTTTGTAGGAAATGTGTTTTCGAGCCCGTATTGCGATGTACTGGTCTTTATCTTCGTAATGGTATTCCTTTTTTTTTTTGAAGTCCCATTTCTCTTAATAATTGTTGATCTGTGCTAATTCAACCATAATTTCAAATAATTTATTTTCTTGAAATGAAATTAGAGTTAACACCTGTATCAATTCTTATTTGCACTTTGCAATTAGTACGAGTAAATTTTTAAGTGTCGCATGAAAACCTGTACACACAACAGAACAGAAGCGCTTTCAAAAGCTGAATTTGAGATGATTTCGAAATAGATGCTCTGAAAATATGGGAAAATGCAACGAGGATCGATACTAGAGAACATAGTATCGGTTCGGGCAGTCCGGGACGAGTTTATCCTTCAGCACGCGCTAATGTCTTGCGTATCCGTGAGCTGAAGCTTGTGTATGCTGAGTCTGCCTGATCTTGAGCCATTAGCTGATGGGTTTTCGTTCAACTTTCCGATTAGGTACACCTGAACATAAAGGAGCGTCGTGCTCTTATACCATGCTTTTCCTATTTACACATTAAGAGGGACTTTTAAGGTTCTGGATATAATTATGTTAAAGACACACTTCACGATAAAAATAGTTTATAAAATATTCTGCAAGGATAAGTCTGTGGCATCCCGTATACCATATGATGCGCTGTCAGGTCGGAGAATGATCTGGATAGGGCGTATAAAGACTCAAAGATTGTCTCGTGTGTATGTACGGACGAGTTTCAACGGCATTGTAGAGGCTGCACCATTCACAAGGAAAACCATGTAGGAAGCTCAAACAACTTGTCATGACCCATAGCGACAGTCCAGGACAGTTTTGGTTTCATGTAGTCAGCTCTATGCGCATTGCAACAACTGAAATCTCGCCCAAATACCCCTAACATATCTTTTACTACTTTCGAGGACGCTTATTTTTCGCAAACCTGGCGAATTTTCTCGCTTCTTTCACCACCAATGCACTATTCCCAACCAATACTTCCATTTTTCGACTTACGAAGAGTACTTCAAAGTTTTCGTGAACTAAAAATGATTTGCTTTACCGATAGAGATAGCTCATGGACATAACTGCTGGTTACTAGTTGTCGATACCTGGTTCTGCAAGCTATGACCGCTATTGAGTAAAATTGACTAACCTTAGTGTCACTGGGTAGCATTTCGATGTAGTCATCGCCTTGCCGTGCTTCGACTTTGAAACAGCTTTCGAGTTCCTTGTTTGCGCTATCGTTGCAAACGTAAAAGGATGCCTCTCCCTGAAAATGTTGCTTTCTACGATGCCCCCTGAATTTCATTTCAGGTTATGCGAAAGGGCTGCGTTATCATCTCTGACTTTTCGCTAAGTTGGTACAAAAGATGGTTTTTTCAAAAATAATAACTAGTAAATAACAAAAAAAACTTGCTTCTACAGTGTAGGTGAAGTGTAATCGAGCGATGGTATTCAAATGAAACACTGGGGATTCCAGAATTGCAATGCTGTGAGCTGCATCAAGTCTAGCAACCACTGAGTGATCAATTACCTGTAATCATGACTTCGAATAGAGGGACTATTGGTGGATGGGCTAAGCCAAGCCGCGAAAAAGCTCACCTCGTGTCGGGCGCTGTTTTGAATTCGACTCGAGTCGTAAAGGCAGGCATGGTCGCGGCGGAAATCACACGAAAGAAGGCGACAAGCGTTCGGATCCGGCTGATCAGCCATTGGATGATACGATTTCGAGGAGTATTGTCGAAGGACCGAAGGGCATAATTCACCCTAAACTTGATTTGTTTAGTACCGTGAAAACCATAGGTGGACCGTCCCGGTCATCGTCAGATATGAACCCAACAGCACATTAATGAAGGAAAACAGTAAGATCTAATTTCGAAGTACTGATAGAAATTTTCAACTGCTACTGGACTGATAAGAACATTCAGTGATCCATCTAGCTTAGAATTTCCGAAGCTTGTTTGAATTCTTCTGGAACCTACGAAAACGGTAAGAGGGGTGCTGTACTCACTGCACCCCTTTTTAGCTCCTGAAGGCCATTTACTACTGAAAGCCAGAGTCCTAGACCATATTAGCTCGGAAATGCTAATAGCCTTCCCTCCCGCGGGGTTTTCGATAATGTGAAGTATTTAATTGTTGATTAATCCCATATGTGGGATGTGCCCTGCATTCCTCTTCCATTCAGTTTCGTATTAGGGCTTTGAAAGCGTGTGTAAACCATAAAGTTAGGATTTTAATCATCTCAGGCATGATCCCAATCGAGTGGTTTCGGGTAGAGGAAGTCCAATCTAGCCAGAGCGTCTATCAGTCTAGCCAGGCCATAAATCGGTCCGTGATTCTATCCCCCATCCACATGTGCAGAAGCGCCCTACACACCTCCGCCTCCATTTTAGATAAAACAGTTGATTAAATCCAACGGCCTCGACTATCCGAAGACCTGAACGTCTTCTGAGCTTAATTCCACCACAGCACTTATTTCACTCCAACATTTTCGGCGAGGTTGGCACAGTACAGCATTTTAGAAGTTACTTATAAGTATTCCCATCCATGAAATTTCACAACAACAATGTCAAGCAGTATACGGTTTAAAATCGACTATGAAAGCCAGTACAAAAGTATCAGCCAATCTACAAGACAATGCTTTCGCCCATCTAGCCGAGCCCGTACTATTCCCGGAATGTTGAAAGGCCTTATTGGCTCATGCTGAAATCGATCTAGGATTCGAACCTGCGACCATGCATGTGTGACAGTGCGCCACTTGCCACTTAACCACCTCCGCCCGCAATTGATGGTAACATCTCACAATTGGCAGGTATGAGCCCGCTTGATACTTCCACTTCCCTGTGCTCCCCAAATATGCACGCAACAGTTTCCGGAAATCGAACTGCACCCATCCTGGCAAATCAGCATTTCTAACACTTATACAAATTGACAATTTTTTTACTTTCAATGATCTCGGAAAATTGCGGAACGTATGATTGGCTGAAATATACAATTGGTATCATCATATACACCTGATCTGAAAAAAACAAACTCAATAAATGAGTCCTGTTCTACTTTCACATAGTGAAAATTTTTATTTCGTCATTTTAGAAAGTTGATTATAAATCAAAAAAGCTAATAATGGAAGCATCCTTCCCCCAAAGAAATTCTCGGGACATTTCATCAGCAACAGGACTAGCTGTAAGTATCGCTGCTCACTAGATAGTGCTGACAGCAACTTTTCCAGCAAAGAATGGACTAATCCTAGGGCCATTTCCGAATGATAGTGACTTCAAGCGGAAACTTATACTATAAGTGAAGTGGTTCTTGGTAGTGTTCTGTAACTTCTCTACAGATATGAGTTTTTTTGGGTTCGTAAAAGACTTATCTGAATTAAGAGGATGCGCTACTAGTTGAACATCGGCACTGAAGACAAACTGGGTTCAAAATGCATGTCTCGTTGCCTTTCCAAGTGATCTATACGGTGTTTAAAACGAATATACTCACTCCATCTGCAGCTCCCATATGGAACTTTTTGTGCTCAATCATAACTAGTAGGAAATGTTTAGTTGTACTGCGGCTCCGACCTCATATAGCCTTATCCCAAAGCGCTCGAGGCTATCCAGCCCACTTTCTCCGCCTCCCATTTAGTCATCTGACCCAGGCCGCAGGGTCACCCCTGTCACACCTCGACTGTAGCCTCACTGTTTCTAGTAAGGCAGTTACAGCCTGTGTTACATCCCTACTAGTCAAATACAGCTCTTCCCTCCACTGGCAGTTCAGTCACTACTACTAAAGCTCCTGGAACTTGGAAGTTCTTCAACGTAAAGGTATGGAATATTCAGGTCTCCGACCGAACTCCAAGTTTTCCGATAAATTCATTGTTTTCTCTAGATTGTCCACTTTTCGCAGCAAGGTCAAAGTCAAGACAACTTCGCCGATGACGTTGAGAATGGCAAGTTAACCTAAAAATTCTTCATAGCTGGAGAAGGAATTATCAATTTCAGAATGATAGTCGCGCTGAGACAGGAATCACGAACAAAGCAATGGACGAGATGAATGCAGTAATGGATATGCTAAGGGAGGAAATCGAATTAACCCAAAGAACCATCGTGAACGGGTTTCGTGGTTTGGAAAGAAAAGTGGAAAAATGGAACCGTCGTTTGGATGGTATCGAACGAAGAATCTCTTCTTTGGAGGCATCACCCAGGAGAATGACGCCAAAAGTGGGATGTGCAGTCGTAGGTGATTGGCCTTTTTTGGTATCACTTGGAGTTGTTCATTAAATTTAATAATTGTAATTTAGAGAGTGAAATAGACTTCACGAAACTTCCTCAAAATTATTTGAAGGCTTGGCTATCCGGGAAGCGTGTATTATTGATAGAGTTCGCTCTAGATTTAGAGCGAGAACTTTATGAAGACAACCCATCGGAGCTAATGCTGGATGTAGAGGACAGGACGTCGACGGAAAAGACAAATTTCATTCAAAAGGTGATTTCCCTTGTCTATTTATGAATGGAGGCGAAATGGAAGAAAGTGATACAGATGTTCGAATGTTTGCTTGTTCTAGAATATCTTCAAATATTTCACCATTCCGAAAAAGTCGGAAGAAGGTGTATGGCGAATGGTGAAAAACACCCTCAACGCCAGGGCTCGAGCTTCAAGAGTCCGCGCCGTCGAGGAACGTGTATAAAAGCTGTTCTTTACGCTGACCAGGTGCTAGAGTCCAGGGAAATTTCTTCGGAGTGAAGTGGTGTATAAACTCATTGAAAGCTGACCTCTTGAAGACAATTTTTTCAAGAATGTATTGAATATTCTAGTGTCGCTAGATGATCTTTTGTTTAATAAATATTTACATCATCTCCTAATTCATTCGCAGATTGGAGTACAACTTCCTTTAAAGGCACAGTTCACGATAAAAATGTTTTCTGAGATGATCCTATAGTACGAATTCAGGGCTCCCTTTTATACCATATCTGCCGTTATAAAGTCGAAAAACGTCATGGATAGGGTACAATGAAGGGCCAGAGATTAATCGTGTGAATGCCTTACCTATAGTAGACGAGTTTCAATGGCTTTGAGGCTGCACTATCTCAAGAGACTCAAATAGATGAAGTTCAAACAACTTGCTATAAGCCATTGCGACAGTGAAAGACAGTTTCGGACAATTTCGGTTCGATGTAGTTATCTCTGATCACGTTGATCTCGTACAACCTCCTTTTTCGTTACTTTTGAAAAACCTTGAAACAGGGCGGGTATTCTCGCTTATTTCGCCACCGACGTACTTCTCTACATCAACACTTCCACTTTTCTACCTAAAA